AGTAGTGAAAAATAAGGCTATCAGACAAGTAAATGGCAGGCTGGAAAATAAAAATGTATCATGTGAATGGCAGGGAGCCACTGCCTGTTTTTCAAAAAGCAAGATATTGAAGTTATCATACCCTTCACATCATTTAACTTGAACATTAAGGAGTTTGAGCGACAGTAGAAGGGAAAAATTGTAGTAATCCTGCCCAAAGATTAGGGCCCACTTTATGAATTTATGTCAGAGGTTGAGGTTCAAGTGTAGATTAAATATAAAGTTTGAAGGGAGGGCAGGGGTAAGGGGAAAAAATGAGAATCAAGACTTGTCATGTAGAGGTACAAGATCCCAACAATGAATGTAACTGTACTGTATCCCTAAAATGTACCAATACACTCAATTAAAGCTGAAAAAAAAATAAATAAAGTAAAGAACCAGACAGCTCTTCTGCGAAATTGGATGCAAGTAACAAAGGACAAAGAATAGTTGCAGACTAGTTTCTGTTCTGTAGAAGGAAACAATGTTCTAACACAGAACTCTGAACTTGAGGTGACTGTGTGGCTAAGATGGAAGTAAGCCCTGTTTCATGATGTTAAGTGTGATAAAGTATCTACATTATGTAGCTAAGCTAAAGTCAGTCAGATTGAAAAACTCAACAGAGAAGACAAGACTGGAGCTGCGGCCAGAGATTCCCTGCTAGTTCAGTGGGACAGGCCCAGAGCTCAGTGTGGATCACTTGAGAGGCAGAACGTGCAGCACCCCTTCCCAAGTCTGCCCGAGTCCAGGGTGTTACTGCTACGTATAAGAACCAAGTCAAACGCTCTGAAGAAAGAAGTGGTTCTTATAGATGTGATAGCTCAAGGAGCAGAGATGCCTGTTGCTTTCAAGAGACATTGTGGGGCACAGAGGTGCGAGAGATGTGATTATCTTACCCTCGCTGCCTGAGCTCAGAGGTGGGAAGCAGCTCCTGATTCAGTCAGTACACAGTTAGCAGCAGAGATAAACCCATACACAAAGTGCAGTGACTTCTCAAAATTCCAGAGGTCTGAGTGCTGGGGGAACACAGTGGCTAGATTTTACTTGTGGCCTGTTGGCCAGGGTAGGGGTTGGAGCTAAGAGGGTCGAGAACCCAGGTAGGATCCTGGATGTAGTCAGAACACCCTACCCTACTTGATCCACTACCCTCATGCTGTAGACACCACACTCGGAGCTACAGTTAAAAAGACAAAGTCTCTAATCTTGACTCTTTACCTGCACTTGATTGGTGGTACTCACTTTATGCTTCAGGAGTTGTTGGAGTAAGTAGTTTATGGGCACCACAGCAAATGTGGATTAGAGTTTTAAGATAGCAAGGAGGAGAGATGAGGAATCCCTATTACAGCAAATTCCTTATCCCTTATGAAGCTTAGAGTTCTCATGGGTGAGTTAGACATTGAGCAGATTTTTTTAAAAATTAAATGAACTGATCAAGCCATTTTAGTGGGAAATGTGTTAAGAAATGGAATCAGATAGGAAGCTGCCTGATTTGGGTGCATGTCCCAGACTTCTGTGAGCATTAACATTTGAGCTGAGATCTAAAGAACAAGGACATGTATCCAGAGGCCAGTGGGGAAGCAATCAGTGAGAAGTGAAAATGGGGACTATTGGAAGGATTTCAGGCTGGGAGGAAGAGAACAGTTTGATGACTACAGTAGGCCAGGCCAGATGTGCTGGGTTCATGAACCAGAATGGCAGTGATGTGTGAACAGAGGGTAAGACATCTTAAAAATGGGAATCATGCTGGTGTTAGTAGAAATTCAGCCCTTATCAAGTTGGGAGTGTCAACCAGGAAATCCTGTTGGAAGCCAGAAGACTTGTGATCTGTTTTTAAGAGCACGTTGGAACAAGCTGGTGCCCTGGGGAAGAAGGTAACAGAGTGGCAGGGAGCTGGAACGTAGGCATAAGACTGTGGCATAAGTTCTGCTTGGGTAGGAGGGTTCTTAAGAGACAGCCCAGCCGACACAGTGTAGAATCTTCTTGCTTTGTGTACCAGTGTACACTCTACCACCAGGTAACGGAAGCATGTGGAGAGGCTGTCGGGGCTTTTCCAGGCAGCTGAGACAAGGCACACAAAATTGCTGTAGAGCTAGTAGTGTGGGCAGGTGATGCCAATGACAGAAGGACAAGAAGCCAACAGAGAGACCCAAAGAGAGAACTTTGGCCACAAGGGTGGACCAGGGTGGTCCAGGGTCAAAATAGAAGCTAATCCTTTAGTCATTTTGATTACCTGTTGTCTGTCTCATAACTCAGTGATAAAAGTTTGCTTTTATTAGAGGCGAATGATTGGCAAGTAGGTTGGACTTCAGTGAGTTCTAATTCTACAATGAAACATTTCCTTTTAATTATTGTGTCTACCTTTGTCAGTTTTTGGTCTGCTTGAAGTGTACTTCTCTGGTCCTTTGAGCAAACAGGATCAATGCATTGAATGCACCGATTCTGTGAAAGGGCTTCTGTGGATGCCTGTTGCTAGACTTCAGTACAACTCCACTGCCATCACTGATTACAAAGTGATGAGAGAGTTACAAAGTCCAAACTTTCCTGGAGCTGCCCTTAATGATAATAATAATAATACCATGTAGAGATACAGAGCTTTACAATTATAGAGCACTTCCACATACATCGTCTAATTTGATCTTTGCAATAAACAGTGCTCTTTGAATTCTTGAATCTTTCCTGTGTGAGAATATTTGCACAACCGGATTTAATTACAGGGAGTTGCCAACAGTTTCTTGGTACAGCAACCATTTATTGAGTGTCTTCTATGCACAGGTCACTTCACTAAGGACACCAAGGGCAAATTTTCAGGAAATAAATATCTAATAAAAAACACCTATCCAGTAAATACAATCTTGCCTCCTAATTCATTTTCCTTTCCCTATCACTGTCATTCTTTTGAAAGCTAGTTTCTGTACTGTAAGTTTATATAAATATCTCTAGGAATTCGTTATATCAGAGTTAAAGTTTTTAAAACTAAGAATTCTGATACCCTTCTAAGCTTGGTGATTCTTCCAGAAATCATTCTAGTAGACTTGCATTTTGTTGAAGATTATTTCTCACTTGAATCTCAACAAAAATATTTCAGACTCCCAACATGTCTAAAAATGCCTGTTGACTTCATTGTCTTGATTGAATCGATTGGGGTATGGTTCAAGAATACAGCTGAGCCCCTGGCCCCAAAAAGCTTGTTATCCAATAAGGAGAAAAAAAAAAAAAAAGACCTGTTGGTTCTGTGAACTGAACTGGATGGGGATGCTGTCTAGAGACGGGGAGAGAAAAGATTTCCCAGGAGACTGCTGTCTAGGTGAGGTGGGGGACGGAAGATAGTATGGGAGCCAGGTCCAGTAGCAGGGTAGCCCTCTTCAAGCTGTATTTAGAAACCCCCAGAGTATCTGGGCACCTGTGGGCCACTGACTCCACAGAAAATACACAGGCTTTGAGGTCTTACTGAATATCCTCCAAAAAGTAGGGGATCCCTAAATTAATAGGAACCTCTGCCTTCAGTGAGCTAGGTGACCCACAAATCATGGCTCCTTCCTCCTTCAAGGGCTGGGTGAGACTCTGAAGCCCAGGATTGAACCTCAGCTGTGAAATCTATTTTAAGCCAGATATGGTAGTGCATGCCTAAAATCCCAATATTCTGGGAGGTTGAGGCAGGTAGATCATAAATTCAAGCCCAGCCTGGGCAATTTAATGAGACATTGTCCCAAAATTTAAAAAGGGGCTAGAGTGTAGCTCATGTGAAGGCCCTGGGAACCCAGTACCACCACCAAAAAGAAAACGGGAATTCAGGGAAGAAGGGAAAAGGGATGGGGGCAGGGGACAACACCTGTTCTGTTGATGAAACTACATGGGGTGACCAGGTGCTGAGGATGCATCAGGTCACCTTGGGGCAGCTGTTGCTTCACCAGATGTCTTCCTGCTTATTCCTAGGCATCTTAACTTTATTAACTTCAGTGAGACACTGTTCAGCCATTTATGTGAGCAGGTGGTTTGGAAATTGGAGGACAAACCCTAGATATATATTTTTTTTTTTTTTAACTAGTGCACACATTTCCTAGATACATTGAGCTTTAGAAAGTTTTCTCATAACATCTTTTTTTGGTACCAGGGATCGAACTTGGGCCCTTGCACTTGTGAGGCAGGTGGACTGAGCCAAATCCCCAGCCCTCACTCAGCATCTGTTAAAATAATAACTCCGGTGTTTTATGAAGAAGACTAACGTCTGAATTACCAAGCTCTCTCTCTTAATTCTTCAGATACGGAGCTTAAGCAATCAAAAGCCCAAGAACTCTTCCTTGTTTCTGTTGGGCAGATTTGCCTAACACTTTTTTGTTTTGACAGAGAATGTACAGCCAGCATCTCAGCATCTCATAAATACTCCAGAGAAGAACACAATTACGGTGTGGTATGGAGCTGGGAGTTTGAGATTAAGTCTAAGTGATCTTCCCGACTGGGGCTGGAAACGTGCTTTAAATAACTGTATTCTGATCATTCAGGTCTCTCTTTATAGGGCATCTTTTATGACCAAGACTGTCCAATACCAAAATGAGCTACATAAATTCCTAATCTGGGATACAGCTGGACAAACGAGTAAGTGCACTTGTGAGGCAGGTGGACTGAGCCAAATCCCCAGCCCTCACTCAGCATCTGTTAAAATAATAACTCCGGTGTTTTATGAAGAAGACTAACGTCTGAATTACCAAGCTCTCTCTCTTAATTCTTCAGATACGGAGCTTAAGCAATCAAAAGCCCAAGAACTCTTCCTTGTTTCTGTTGGGCAGATTTGCCTAACACTTTTTTGTTTTGACAGAGAATGTACAGCCAGCATCTCAGCATCTCATAAATACTCCAGAGAAGAACACAATTACGGTGTGGTATGGAGCTGGGAGTTTGAGATTAAGTCTAAGTGATCTTCCCGACTGGGGCTGGAAACGTGCTTTAAATAACTGTATTCTGATCATTCAGGTCTCTCTTTATAGGGCATCTTTTATGACCAAGACTGTCCAATACCAAAATGAGCTACATAAATTCCTAATCTGGGATACAGCTGGACAAGAACGAGTAAGTCTCTCTTTAATTTACTGTGTGTTTTTCTGAGGCCCAAACCAAATTAAAGCTCCAACTGAACTGTCAGTGTCCCTGTCATTTCACGTTACTCACGTCTTTTCTACACGCCAGAGACACATTTATTCCCATTTGCGTAGGCCAGCCTTTTTCTTTTCAATTAGAGCAGCAAAGTCCACTGATGGAGAAAGTGATAATGGGCACTGAGGGCTTTTTTATACTTTTTAGTGTCTTAAAGTAAATGCTGACTAACAGGCCTGATAAAATCCCACTCGAGCATTAGTGTGTAATTTAGGCCTTCACTTCTCCAGTAAAGATATAAAAGAATTAGTGGTAAAAAGGGAGAGTTAAGCACAACTCATTTGTACGCCTTTTAAAAATTAAAGAGGGAACTTTACAGTATATAAAGTTGGAGATTTAAGTGCAACGGATGAGCTAACATAGTGCCTTGCGTAGATACTTACTAAATGCCTGGTGATAAAATTGACCACAGTGGATATCTGCCTAAGGAGGAGCTTAATCCACAGTGGGGTTGGCTGCAGCAGCATGGGCCAGATGGGATTTATTTCAGCCCACCCAAATCAGAAGGGTTTGGGAATGGAACATGCTTCCTGCCTCATCACCTCAGCCCTGAGTCCCATTTCACTGCCGAGGTGCCTGTGGTGGCCACCCCATTATTCAGCTGCCATTTAATTTTGTTTTCAAATAGTGCTATAAAAATAGAGCATCTGATGGATGCACAGTGCTATCTTAAGCTCTTGAAAGTATACCAGAAGTCATCAGGAAAAACTGTCATCATGGTCTTATCTAAGACAACATAGATATTGTGTATGGTATAAAGTCTGACAAAAATCCTCACAGACAGATGGAGGAAAACAAAACAAGCCATTACTGTTGTCCTACATGTAGACACTCTATATTTGTACAGATTTAATGTCTTAAGTTCGCTTTGTTTGGTTTCTTCTGTTTTTAATGCTGGATGTTATGCTCCCATCCAGTTACTCATCTGAGATACATCTGCTTGTGGTCCTCCAAACTCCACTCCTTCTGTGCTGATATTGTGTGTCTAGATTGGAACATTCAGGACTGCTGGACCTTTTGGTAACCATCACTTTTCAGTCTTTTAGAGGTGTTAGTTACCAGAGTCCTCCTGCTATATAGCTGTACCACAGCCCTGGGATCTGACCTATTAGCTACAAACTCACCAGACTCTTCCTCCTAGTAATGTATGTGCACTTCCACTAAATCCCAAGTTCAGTTACCTTTTACAGATACTTGATGGTGCAGCAAAGCCCTCATCATAAAGAATCATGCTGGAATATAGATGCTATTGTGCTTTCATCAGAGTCTTTCCTAGGGTACACAGTGATATATAACACCCCTTTTTCTGGAACATGATAAATAACCCAAGGGTATATACCCCTCCCTTTCTGCTGGCATGATTTCAGGTGTCTGTGAAGTTCTATAATCAGCTGGTTTGGGTGCCTCTTTTTTGCCTACTTCTAATTGATCTGAGATGTGACCCAACCTCCCCACCACCTTGAGCACAATCCTACAGCCCAGTGCTGGACAGACAATGGTCTTGAGGCCAGGCCAGGGGCAGGGGCCCTGGCCAAGTGTTGCTGGGCAGAAGCCCATGTCCAGGGTTCCCAAATTACAAGGCATTAGGGAAGCTAAACACCTGATAGCTCATCGCAGATTGTTTACAATTCAGGGACAATCATGTAAGACATATCTTTGAGCTCATTCTGGGTCAAGGACTGCCCATTTTTCCTGGGCGAGGCTTCAAGGCCCTGAATGTGCCACCTACAGCCAGACTTATTTCACCTCTTCCCACCATTCTGTCCTCTAGTACCAAACTGCTTTAGATCTCTAGCATGCCATACAGTCTTACAGTCTCTTACCCTTCCTTCCACCTTTTGTGTGGAAAACTGTTTGGCCTTCAGAGCCCACTTCTATTAGCACCTGAAGGGGGACTTTCCTAACCACCTATGTTGTTCAGATGAGTAGCCATGTTGCCATATACCCATGTTGCTCAAACCTAAATCTGTAGGTTGTCTTCGGGTCTTGATATGTCTGTTGTCTACATATACAGTGGTGCCTCTGTTCACGAACACTTTTGTTTGCGAACTCTGTGTCAGGTGACAAACATGACTGGGCTATCTCTTTCCTGCAGTAACATGGACGTGGCCATCTTTTGCAGAATTGTGGAATGAATTAAGTTCATGAACCAAGATACCACTGTATCTGAGATACCTTAAGTTCTCCATCTCTACTGCTAATGCACTGTTCTCAGCTACCTTTCACTCTCAGGTTTTCCTGTAGCCTTTTAACTGTTCTCCCTTCTTTCTCTGTAGCCAGCCCTGACTCATATATCATTTCTCACAGGACCTAGAGTCTTTTGGAAACATAAATTAAGCCCTGTTGTGTTCCTACCAGTATCTTTCAGTAATTGACCACTGCTCTTTTTCTCTGGCCACACTCTGAAGAAGATGGCAGAGGCCACATGGCCCCTGTACTTCGCTCCTGAGGACCCTCCCAGCCCATGCTCACTCCTTCCACTGTGTCCCAGCCCTCTATCCTCCTTGCAGGTCCTCAACAGGCTTTGCCATCAGGTCTTTGTGTGAGTTGGTCCTTCTCACTGGACCTCTTCTTTCCTCCATTCACAGGTTCCTCATCAGCTTTTTGTCTCAGATTGAATGTTCCATTCTCAGAGTTTTCCCCAACCTCTCTGTCCCTAAGCTAGGGTCTCCATCTTTGCTTCTATTCAGTTTCCTCAAGACACTCATTACCAATTGTAATTAGCTCTCCATCTTCTTACCTTTATTGAGTATCTGTCTTCCTAGACTGTAAACTTCAAGAATTGGACCACAGTGACTCATTCACTACTATACTCCCAGCCCCAACACAGAGCCTGACATAAAGCTCATGTTCAGATACTGGTTGGATATATCAGGAAATAAATTCTCTGTATCCTGAATAGTCTTTGATTGCTCTCATTGTGCAATTGTCACCTGTTCCCTTACTTATCTGCATTCCATTAGACCGAGCTCCTTGGGGCAGGGACAGTCCTCTGTCTCTCTGAGCCACGGGCACATGGTGTTGATGCCAGTAGATCATGCCAACCAGTTGCTGTCCTACTTAGGCATAGATAGAGCCTATACCTACTTTGACCATGTGAGTAGAGGATGCCTCATACTAGCTTTCTGGGGTTTACATGTCCATTATTTGTTCCCTATAGTTAGGAAATTCATAATGAAACCAAAAATGTTATAAAATGGGAACCCTTTTTGATATCCTCCCCACGTGACCCTCGCATCTGTTGTAACACAGGTTTGACAGATTGGTTATCTTCCTGATAACCAGTAGGTTGCAAAGTGATTTTATTAAGTCAATGAAAGTGATTTTAGATAATATTTTTAATATGATATGAAGCCCTTGACCATAAGTATCTTGTTTAATAGAGAGACATACTGATCAGAATGCTGATATAGGTGCTCAGAAGATAATTAGTTTATATATCAAAGGGTAAAGAGAGGCCATGGGAAAATTGACAGCACCTTCAAGTATTTTTGTAGAAACTGCCATTTTTATGGTAGAACTATGAGAGTCCAATGTGAAGTGAAGGATGTCATACTGTGCTAGCATGTAGTTTTATCAGAAGAATCACTGTCAAGTTATCAATTAACTGTGATTCAGTGTTCATCCAAAAATTAGCTCCTGGATGTAAAAATAAATCTAAGTTTTTTCAACTTTCATGATTTTAAACTTCTTTTCTCAAGGAGGTCTTTATGAGTCCCTTTTTGTTCATGTTATTTGCAGTCCTGAATGAGTTTGTTTTGTCACATTTTCCTGCCAAGTATCCTTCACTGACAAAGGCTTCAACAGCCCCGTTAAGACAGACACAGCTCACACATACATGAGAACCATGACCATGTACCATCAGTACACCATCACTGTAGCAAAACATTTCAAATGCTTGCCGTCTCCATGTGATGACCTAGAAAAAAAGCTCCTTAACCAGATTCACACAGACACTGCATCCAGACCCTAAGGATTTACATCCCTGCATCTTAATATGGTTTCTCCTTATGGCTGTTTCTTCAGAGGTCAGCATACCAGGAAAGCACACACCCATTTATTGTCACGGAAGTCATGTAGGACATTGTTCACATATTTAAAATCAGAAATAAGTAAAGTGGCTTGGGATCACCTGGTGCTCGGGCCAACAGACCTGGCCCTCGGGCCAAATCCAACTTGCTGCCTATTTTTGTAAGTCGAAGTTTTATTGGAACATAACCATACTTGTTTGTTTCTATTTTGTTTGTGCCTCATTTCACTCTGTAGTAGCAGAGACGAGTAGTTAGAGCAGAAGTCTTGTGGCCCAAAAGCTGAAACTATTTACTCTATACTGCATGCCAGAAAGTTTGCAATCTGTGGCCAGATTCGAAGCACAGATGTGCTGGGATCTTTTGAGTCTCTTTATATGCTTTTGTCTTTCTTTATACCAAAAAGAGTTTCAATGTCAGTAGCAGAAATGTGGCTTATAACAGCCCGGCCCTCCCACAGACAGCAATTATATATAATATATAAACTCAGGATGAAACTTTTTTAAAAAATGACTATTTAAAAGTACTGTAGAACAACTAAATGCAGACAAGAACTGAAAAAGGGACCAACATTAGGCACAGTCTCCATGTCTTTGCAACTTTTCCCCAGTTGACACTCCCTAGTCCAGTGGTGGTGAGCCTCCTCCACCGTGCCACAGCACAGGCAGAGCCCTCTCAGTTGGCACACAAGCCAACCCCAGTAGCCAAGCATCAGAGAGCAGTTGTTTTTTAAAACTAAAACCTCAGTGTTCAGGTTTAATTGCAGCGTTGGCACTTTGTAATAAATAAGTCAGTTTTGAGTTGCAGTTTGGATACTCAATCTCTAGAAGATTCACCATCACTGCCCTAGTCAGCATGGCTCAGATTTGGTAGGACACAAGCAGAAAGCCTATCTTTTTAGCCTGTTATGTTTGAAGACAAAGTTTGGGACTGCTAGTGCAGCTGGAAAAAGAGGAGACAAATCCCCAAAAAGATCCTTATAGCAAGGAGGGAAGCCCCCAAAATCTGTTTATAAATTCCTCTCAAATCTTTGACTAACCCCAAATTATGATTGTACAGGAAGGACATTACAAAATGCAGTAGAAACCAATAGGTAGAAAGGTGACAAGACTGAGCAGAATTACCTCTTGTTGCCCATAATAGCAGAGCTAAAGCTTGGACTTTGAATCCAGTCCTGTCACATTAGAGGGGATTAGTAGACACCTTGGGGATTCCATTGAAACCTCAGAAGGAGTAGAGATCAATAGCAAACCAAAATAGACACACCCTAACAATTTGTGAAGCCAGTCTCGACATGACTGGCCAGTAGCAACACCTTTTACAGCAGATAGTAGAGACTTCCAAGTCTGGTGCATCTGTCAGAGTCCTTGTACATATGAACGGGAAAAGAGGGCCAGTGAGTTGCAGCAAACCCCCAAACAACACAGGTGTTAGGTATGCAGACACAAAATTAAAAGTACATCTTAAATATGTCCAAAGATTTAAAGAAAAGGTATCAACTATTAACTACAAATGGGAAATCTCACACAAAATGGAAACTAATAAAGAATTAAATAGAAATACTAAAACTGAAAACCACAGTAGCTAAGATGAAAACATTAATCAGAAGAACACAGGAAAAGGGGTAGGAAAGTACGGACAGAGTCTCAAACTAGGGACAAATTCAACTAATCTGACATACATGTAATTTGAGACATGGTAGGAATAAAGAGATAAGGACAGGGAAAAAAATTTTTTTCAAGAAATAATGGCTGGCTGAAATCGTCCCAAATTTGTTGAGACTGACAACTCACAAAGCCAAGTTGAGCAAACCTCTAAGTACAACAGAAACTACATATAGGTATATTGTAGTCAAATTACTGAAAACCAAAGATAAAAAGAAAATCTAAAGCAACTAGAGATAGCAGATGCATTATGTACAAGAAAACCATATGGATGACGTCTGGCTTCCCACAGAAACAGTGGCAACCAGAAGTTGCTGTTAGAAGCACGGTACGTTTCATATTTTGAAAGCAGGAGGAAAGAATCCTGCCAGTCTACCAAAAATACCTTTCAAATATGAAGTCAAAATAAAAAAACAAGAACTAAGAGGATTCAGCAAAGCAGCCCCAGGAAGCTTTTCAGAACAAACAGAAATGATGTCAGATGGTCATTCAGGTCTAGGTTCATAGGAAGAAGTAATAAGCACAGGAAATGGTAAATTCAGAAGTCCTAGGATTAAAGGAAGGGAGGAGATTGGAGAAAAAAGAAAAATCAAGATATGTATATGTACAAATTCCCTATGATGCATGTGACTGTTATGTATATCTAAAATATACCAGTAAAATTCTTTAAAAATATGGTAATTTTAGAAGTTAAAAAATTGTTTTTTTATCAATTTTAAAAGACAGTTGATTATTTAATTCAAAAATTATAACATTGGATTGTACAACTTATATAGAGATTTAAGATATTTGACAACAGTAGCATAAAGAACATGGGATAAAAGGAATTACACTTGCCAGGTTTGGTGGCACAATGCTGTAATCTTAGCACTCTGGAGGCTGAGACAGGATAATCACTGTAAATTTCGGACACTGTCTCCAAAAAAAAAAAAAAAAAAAAGGAATTACACTATTGCCAAGGTGAAGTGATAGTGTTTTCAACTCTAAGTAGACTGTAGAAAAATGTATATTGTACTTAAAAGAACAACCATGTAAAAGATGAGAATCTAACTAAAAAGCCAATAGAAGCACTAATAATTTTAAATTGAATACTAAACTATAATCAATGCAAAATAGAAAAGGAAAGAAAGAACAGGAATTTAAAAAGAAATAGAACAACTTTAAAACAAAATGATAGACCTAAATCCAAGTACAGTAAATAAATAAGATATAAAGGAACTAAAAAGTCCACACAAAGGCAGAGGTTGTCAGATTGTACCAAAAAAGCAGCATGCAACTGTGTGGTTAAAGATTATTTTATATATAAAAACAAAGATGGGCTGAGTGGCCAACACCTGTAATCCCAGCTACTCAGGAGGCTCAGGTGGGAAGATCACAAAGTTCTAACACAGCTGGGGCAACTTAGGGACTTCCTGAGAGCCTGTCTCCAAATAAAAAGATCTGGGTATATAGCACAGTGCAAATGTGCTGGGCCCACTCTCCAGTACTGCCAATTAAAAAGGGGGCGGGGGAAGAGTTGAAAATAAGAGAATGGGAAAAGATACACTGTGCAAATCATAAGCAAAATGAACCCATTGTGGTTGTGTTCATAGCTATAAACAGACTTGGAAAACAAGGGTTATTGGAATTTTCTGTGTTTTTCTTTCTTGGTGGATAATGCTTACATGAATGTATTATCAGATAATACACTTAAGATTTTTGCCTTTCTCTGTGTGAAATTTACCAGTTTGAAAAAAGAAAAAAATGGGGGCCGGGGATTTAGCTCAGTGGTTTCGCCACCTGCCTTGCAAGCACAAGGACCCAAGTTCAATCCTCGTTACCACCAAAAAAAAAAAAAAAAAAAAA